AAAATAAGTTTAACTAGATTTTAATAAAATTAATAAGAGATAATTTTTAGATTTCTTGCAAAGTCATTAAGAATAATAAAAGACAAGTTTAATAAAGTAAAATATTTAATATCAAATATGATATTTGTAATATTACAATATTATTTCTAGATTAAATCCTTCTTATTTCAACATATGAGTTCTGAATAATTTCTAAATTGACATATTGTATTTATTATATTCTTCAGCTTTAATGAATCATATAAATTTAAATTCAATTAAGACTGGTGTACTTTTTCGTTTTAATTTAAGATGATTACTCATGACATGTCATTTTTTTTTTTACATTTCTATAATTATTGTAATAGCATATGATTAAAGTAGATTATTAGTTTACCTCTGATTATTAATTTTTTCAATTTTAATTTTAATATTATTGTACTAATCAGAATTAATTAATAAATTAATCTATGGCCATATTATAAATTGACATAATGATTTAATATAATTAATAATATAACTTATCATTTTTCTATTATATTATTTTTTCTAAATTAAAACAACAAGTATAAATTATACAATGACCATCTAGTAAAGCTATTTAATTTTGTCTATTTATTACTTAAAATTCCAGTAAATTCTCTATTTATATTAAAGTTTTCAGGTCATCATTCTAATATCTAGATGCATTTTTTTTTAAATTTAAACAACTAAATTTCAATTGTTTAAAGATTTCTGTAAATAATTAAGATTATTTATGAATAAGATTTAAAATGGATAGAGAGGATTATTTTATCTAGATTAAAATGATTTATAAAATTAAATAACTAATTTTTTGAATGTTAATCACAGTAAGCTGTTCAATCAAGTTTCAAGATTTCGAAAATTTTTAGAGAAATTTAAAGTTCTTGCAAAGATTGCTTTTCAATATCTTGTTAAGGTTTATTAAAAACTTGTACCTATATATCTTCTTTTTAATTTAACAATAGCTTGGAATTACTTTTCTATTTATTAATTATTCTTCTTTTAAAAACATTATAATAGAATTAAGATTTAATTATTTTTTATGGTTTTAACATCAAAAAAATTAATGTAAATTAATAAAATATGAATTCAATATTTTTAATAAATTGGAAATTAAAAAAGCCCAAATTAAGATTATAAAATACTATTATTATAAATTCTTATTTTGTCTAAGGATAAATAGTCAGAAATAATGATTTACTTTTTATAATTTTTTTTTTGATATATTAATAATCAAATTTTTTATAATGAAATTTACAATTATTAATAATTCTATATGGACTGCTAACAAAAGCAATTAATTATTACTAATTATATATCTTCAAATTCTGGTAAAAAATTATATTCACCTTTTTAAATTCTTATAAATAATATTTCATAGAACCATATAAAATAACTTAATATTAGAATGGATTTTCTTTCTTAAAAAAAATTAATTCTATAGACTTTTAGGTATTTAATTAATATTCATTAATAGTCATCACCATGTTATAACATTATTATAAAGAGTAATGGTTTCTTTTTAAATCATCCAAATTATATGCCTGTTCTAAATAAGTAAAATTAATATGGAGGAAAAATAATTTTTTCGAAATCATAGAGTGTCTTCTTACATATTCTAGAAAATGTTCACATTAAAAATGAATAATATTTTGATTTCTAAAAATAAAAATGAGGATGGATATTTTAAATTACTCTTATCAGATTTGTAATTGTTACTTGATGAATTTGATGCAATTATGCCAAATAAAAAATTTCAAAGACAAGTTAAGAGTTAAGAAATAAACAATATTAATGAATTAGATCTAAAGGGAGAGAAATTTGAATAAGAGTATAAAAAAAAAAATGAAAGCTTTCGATGAGTTTCATAAAAAATAGTTGGCTTTAATATTATTTAAAGTTAATTCTGAGTAATATTTTTTTATGTAGAATTAGTTTACTTGAATATGTTGAACTAAAAGGATTTTTTAGTTAAAGAAAATTCATAGAAGTTAGAGAATAAATAAACACAATTTAAAAAAATGAAAATAATATATACTAGTATTTAAAGAATTAAATATAATCTGATTAATTTTATTTTAATGAAAAAGGTAATATAGTTAAGGATTAGAATTTAGAGGAGTTTCCAACTATTTTATAAAATTAGCTATCTCTTCTAATTTCATAAGAATTTGACTTGAATTATTCACCTTAGCTCTATCGAATATTCTTAATATTTGATCTTTTGCCTCCTTAATGTGCCAGAATAGCCTTAAGAGAATTAAATATTTTCGAATTTTGAACTAGGCAAAATAGTGAAGATAATTATATTTAAATAATTATCTAATCATTTATTATCATTTTCTAATAGTTTACTTAGAGTATTTTAAATAATTTTAAATAAAATTAAATAAATTTAACAAAAATAGTGATTATCTTTGAATAAAGAATGAATTTCTTTGTACAATACCTATTAATTTTACTTAACCTTCTTTACGAAATATATTCTAATTTAATGAATATTCAACATAAAGTGAATGCTTAGAATTCATTTGTATAAAGATAGAAAAAATTTGAAAGTGCAAACTAAATAGAATACAATATACCTATTTTTAATACTATTAATATATATTAAAATTAGATTCATACCAAGATTTAATTTATGTTAATTCTTCTCATTTTCCACAAATTATTGAAATATATTTTTATAATTGAAATTTAAATATCAATCGTGATTCTTAAGTTCTCATCAACATTATAAAAATGATAGTATATGTTCAAAAATAAAGAAATTTTATAAAACAAGAATTATAAAATGATTAAAGATTAAAGTAACAATCAAAATTTTGTATCTATCATTGCTTTCAAGTAAAATAATCAGTATTTTAAAAGATTTTTTGGATAAGATTCTATAGTCTCTGCATAGGTAGTTTATATCTTTATTAAAATATGAATAATATGTTATTAACCTTTTAAAATGTAATAAATTAAAATAAAAGTATATATATATTTATTAAAATATAAATAAAAATGCTTTTACCTTTTAAAATGTAATTAAATAAATTAGAGTTTTTATCTGTATTAAAATATGAATAAAAATGATTTTAACTTTTTTAAATGTAATTAATTAAAAAACAAGTTTAAATATGTATTTAATTAGTTACTTTTTAAAAGATTAAAATCATATTTATATATTTTAATAAAGATAAATTTTTATTTTATTTCATTTCATTTTAAAAGGTTAAATCTTTAATTGATTTTAATAAGTATAAAAACTTAATTTTAAATTAAGTACATTTAAACATTTAGAAACATTTTAAATAATATTTTAATACATATAAAACCTTTTATTTAATTAAGTACATTTGAAAAGTTTAAAAGCATTTTTATTCATATTATAGTANTTCATAGAAGTTAGAGAATAAATAAACACAATTTAAAAAAATGAAAATAATATATACTAGTATTTAAAGAATTAAATATAATCTGATTAATTTTATTTTAATGAAAAAGGTAATATAGTTAAGGATTAGAATTTAGAGGAGTTTCCAACTATTTTATAAAATTAGCTATCTCTTCTAATTTCATAAGAATTTGACTTGAATTATTCACCTTAGCTCTATCGAATATTCTTAATATTTGATCTTTTGCCTCCTTAATGTGCCAGAATAGCCTTAAGAGAATTAAATATTTTCGAATTTTGAACTAGGCAAAATAGTGAAGATAATTATATTTAAATAATTATCTAATCATTTATTATCATTTTCTAATAGTTTACTTAGAGTATTTTAAATAATTTTAAATAAAATTAAATAAATTTAACAAAAATAGTGATTATCTTTGAATAAAGAATGAATTTCTTTGTACAATACCTATTAATTTTACTTAACCTTCTTTACGAAATATATTCTAATTTAATGAATATTCAACATAAAGTGAATGCTTAGAATTCATTTGTATAAAGATAGAAAAAATTTGAAAGTGCAAACTAAATAGAATACAATATACCTATTTTTAATACTATTAATATATATTAAAATTAGATTCATACCAAGATTTAATTTATGTTAATTCTTCTCATTTTCCACAAATTATTGAAATATATTTTTATAATTGAAATTTAAATATCAATCGTGATTCTTAAGTTCTCATCAACATTATAAAAATGATAGTATATGTTCAAAAATAAAGAAATTTTATAAAACAAGAATTATAAAATGATTAAAGATTAAAGTAACAATCAAAATTTTGTATCTATCATTGCTTTCAAGTAAAATAATCAGTATTTTAAAAGATTTTTTGGATAAGATTCTATAGTCTCTGCATAGGTAGTTTATATCTTTATTAAAATATGAATAATATGTTATTAACCTTTTAAAATGTAATAAATTAAAATAAAAGTATATATATATTTATTAAAATATAAATAAAAATGCTTTTACCTTTTAAAATGTAATTAAATAAATTAGAGTTTTTATCTGTATTAAAATATGAATAAAAATGATTTTAACTTTTTTAAATGTAATTAATTAAAAAACAAGTTTAAATATGTATTTAATTAGTTACTTTTTAAAAGATTAAAATCATATTTATATATTTTAATAAAGATAAATTTTTATTTTATTTCATTTCATTTTAAAAGGTTAAATCTTTAATTGATTTTAATAAGTATAAAAACTTAATTTTAAATTAAGTACATTTAAACATTTAGAAACATTTTAAATAATATTTTAATACATATAAAACCTTTTATTTAATTAAGTACATTTGAAAAGTTTAAAAGCATTTTTATTCATATTATATATATATATTTATATATACTATTTAAATTCACTTTAAAAAAATGATTTAAATGGAAGTTGATATTTCAAATAAGTATATTAGATAATAAGTAATCAATAAATGAATCATTTGTAAATATTAGACTGTATACTCAACATGGACATATATTAAGATAAAAATTTCTACAACATAAATTAATTGATTTACCCTGGTGTGAACTAATAGGGAAAATATATTGTAAATTACGAAATGGAGAGAGACAACATAACTGCACCAGAAAAATAGTATACTCCATTTAACTGAAAAGAGACAAAGATGTATGATATCTTACCAAGAAAAACTTCTTGAACAATGATTTCGAAGTTCCTAAGTTCAGACTACAGGGATATTAGCTTAATTTAATTAAGTTTAATTTTAAAGGAATTTATATTTATCTTCCAATAGAAAAAAATACTTTATATCATCAGTCAATTTTTAACAAAAATTATTAGTTTAATATTCACCATTTTATTATTAAATTTTTATAACTCTGTGTCCTTCCTTGAGGCGTATTCAATTTTTGGGTCAGTCAAATCCATTTACTCTAAATTTTGAAATATTGAATGCACGAAATTAATTCTTCAGTTTTAATTACTATTATTTGCTGAATGTTGATTTCGATAATTATTATTGAAAGTTCTAAAGTTAAAATTGTTCCAGGAACTTGAAAAAAATATGTTAAGAAAATAAATTAAACTAAAATTTTTTTTGTATATAAATTGCCTAACAAAAAATGGGCTGTTAAATATATCAAATATGTTAGATGAGAATAATAAAATATTTAAAGATTATAGATCGTTCTCATTATTTAAATAATATTAGATGCAATTATTAATTTTAATCCACTATTCTTAATATATTATGATTCAAATATCCTTTATTAAAATACATTATACAGTAATTCTTTTTAAATATAATTTCTTATTCAGATA